ACTGGTGCACTCTTCTCCTCTTCTCTTCTGACTCATGGTTAAAACAAGGCTAAATATCTGCCTTCCATTTCCCAGGATGTTGTGTTTGCGCAGAAGCATTCTTATACAGGCAGAAAGGAAGAGGTAGAAGGTAATGAAGTGCTATGCTGGGCAACTTTACAGCTCAAATTTGAACACCAGTTTACTTCTTAAGGGGACGGGACAAATCTTTGTTTTTGCCTTAAGTAGCAAAATATTTAGGGTGAATTCTGCTCAGTCATCCAATCCAAGAAAGAATATATAATACTCTCTACCAGTTTGCCAACCGTTGACCTCAAAAGATCTGACGTTGACGTGAAGTCACTGGCCTGCGTTTCCCAGAATGCACTGGGGTCTGGGTTCAAAGAATTGAACCCCAAAGACAATGTTGCATTTCCCCTTGGCGCTGCAAGATCTTAGTTGTGTTGTCAGGTTTCTGTATGGGCATTTTGAAAGTTGGAACTGGGGAGTACTGTACTTTGATCACTTAAAAGACAAGCCATTCCCACTCCCGGATTCTGCAAGGTGGTAGCTGCTGATTTTTAGACCAATGGCTGGCAACACTGTTGAGGGGCGGCAGGGCACGTAGGAATTTTAGCAAGAACAAAGACAGAAAGTCACGGATAATTGTGTAAGAGCAGAAGGAAGTCTACTAACTACTTACGGTATGCTGCAATCTGTGAAAGAAACAGACTACTGGAATACTTTTTCCTACTTAGATTGCAGGAACCAAACTGGATGGGATGAAAAGTCGGGGATCTGGTTGTACCTGGGATTCTCTGCGCAACTCAGTGGGAGAGAAGATCCTTCATCTGAAAAGCCACTCGGTCTTCAATTCTGGGTTCTGCAACCTCTTGAAGGAGCTCTCTGAAGAGCAGAGTTTTGATATCAGCTACCTTGATATTGGTAAGGAATGAGGCAGAGATTAGAGGGAGGGGTCATCTACAAAGGTTGTGTGAATTCTCTCCCTCCCTCCTGTGCACTGAAGGTAGTCCTCATTTAGTGGCTGCTTCGTTCACTGACCATTTACAGTTCCACAGTGCTGATGCAAAAGTAACTTTACAACCGATCCTTGCATTTAGGGCCTTTGCAGAGCTGAAGTAAGTAAAGCAGAGCTGAAGTAAGAGCATAAGCACAGGAGCGGTTTCATTTAGCAACTGCTTCGTTTAATGATTGAGTTGCTGGTTCCTGCTGTGGTCACTAAATGAGGATGACCTGATTTATACGTTTACAAATGCAACGTTGTGTTTCCCAATGGCACACTGAGTGGCTGGGTGGCTGAAAGCAGATAAGGCCAGGCAAGCTTAGAATTATCCTTTAAAGTCAGAGAGAACTTGGGTGAGCTTGGATCTACTTGGCTCACATCACGGATTGGCTTCATGTAAGAGAAATATTAACTTGGGACACCAAACGAGACAAGGTCAGGAATTTAGTATAGTCGTTGTAATGTTGATCTGCTTTAGTTTAGGTATATATTTATTACATGGGAAAGAGGAAAATATTGAAGTGATCACCACCAAGTCAGGCAGATTTTTGTTTGTCTATTTTGACAAGCGAGTCCTGCGATCTTTCAGGAATGACCGCATTCTAACTCTGGTGCAATGAGGCATTCGCCATTACCTTACGAGCTTAAGCAATCTACTCCTGCTTGCTTTTTTTAAGGGCAATGGTTATTATATAATGTCGACTTTAGCTCTGCAAGGATCATGTATTTGTTCTTGAGCAGAATGACATTTTAAAATATCCATTCTAACTCACTCAGCAAAATTATATTTTGAGTTAGAATATTACGTTATACCATTTTTAAAAGTAGTTTCAAAACAAGAATGGAAATGTGTACTTCAGTGCCACAGAAACACAGCTGACCAACCTATTCTGTCTGTTAAGGTAGGGTTCTCCCCAAACATTTAAGATCAGAAGGGGTGACAGAAATGGAAAATAAGTATCACTTTAGTGTTTATTGTTTAGACATTTTGCTGTACTGCATATCCTGGTGTTTCATTTGAGAATAGGTTTGCCTTCCCTGACTTCTGGATGAGAATTACAACACCGAGCATCCTTCAGCATGTCCATAGTAGCTAAGCCAGTGATGGCGAACCTTTTAGAGACTGAGTGCCCAAAAACTGGTCCCGCCCCCGCTCCACCCCCTGCCCCGCCCCAGCTCCACCCCCATCCTCCACCCCGCCTACCCGCAGGGCCACTCACCGCCTCCAGGGCCCGCCGTAGATTGCCCAGGCAGCCCAGCGCTATGGCGGTCACGCCCTCTGCCCGCGCCCTGCAGCATCAACTGCACGATGGGGTGTGAGGGCAGAGTCTTGTCTACACTGCCTGGTTGCTGTGCTGCTCTGCATAGGCCACGCTCGGGCGACTCTCCTTCAGGGGGGCTGCTGAAGAGGAGGGGGTCGGGGGGAGGCGAGGCTGGGTCAACGGCACGTGTGCCCACAGAGAGGGCTCCGAGTGCCGCCTCTGGCACCCGTGCCATAGGTTTGCCACCACTGAGCTAAGCCGTCTGGAATTTGCAATTCATCAGTATCTCGAAGTCAGCTTGTTCCCCATCCCTCCATTAGGCCACCTGGTGAGTCCACAGCCGTAGCAAAAAAAAAAACACTTATTGTGTTAACAACTCCATGCTACAGTAACCCACCAGGTCCCCAGTGAAGCTCACAAAAGCAGGACCAAATGGTTGCCCTTTAGTTCGATAGGCTGAGATAATTTGCCACTGACCACACCAGATGAACCAATCAGTTCTTTTACTATCACAGCCATGTGCTAAGAAAATTTTTTGTCCTCCAGTTATCTTATTGTTTTAATTGCCAGAAGATTTATAAATATTGTTTATCCGTTGCTCTGCTTTTATTTGAAGAATGCTTTCATTTGAATTAAGAATAATCGGTACAAAATGTGTACAGGTAGTCCTTGACCTTCGACTGCGATTGAGCCCAAAATTTCTGTTGCTAAACAATTCAGTTGTTAAGTGAGTTTTGCCTCATTTTAAAACCTTTCCTGCCACCGCTGATTAAGTGAATCATTGCAGTTTTTAAGTTAGTAACGTGGTTAAGTCTATCTGACTTCCCTGTTGACTTTGCTTGTCAGAGGGTTGCAAAAGGTGATCACATGATCCCTGGGACACTGCAACCGTCATAAACATGAGCCAGTTGCCAACCGTCCAAATGTTGATCATGGAGATGGTGCAACGGTCGTTAAGTGTGAAAAATGGTCATAAGTTATTTTTCCCTGGTGCCTGTAACTTCGAACGGTCGCTGACCGAATTATTGTAAATCAAGGACTACCTGTAGTTGCAGCAGGTTGCTGTTTTCCTGGCTCGAGTAACAATGGGGTGTTGTTTTCCCCCCTTCACAGATGAAACGAGCATAAGTGGCCTTTTCCAGTGCTTGGTGGAGCTTTCTACACAGCCAGCCACCGTGTGCCACGGTTCAGCCATTTCCCGCAGTGCTGCCCGTGCCGACGCTGCCCGCAACGCTCTTCAATACCTCAGAATCATGGCTGGGGGCAAGTGAGAGGCACGCGTCTGACAATGCCGCAGATCCATTGAGGAGGCCGCTTTGTTTTCCTCTCATGAATTGGCGCGACAGGGAGGCGACTGGATGGGGCGGCAAGGAGGGAGGAGGGTCGGCAGAGGCTGGCTGAACTGGAAGACTTTGAAAAAGTTGGCTGAACTTGCAGCAGCGATGGGGTGTACGGAGCCTTGTTTTCTGAGGGGCAAGGACAACCCATCTGGAGGATATCCTGCCTCTTTGGCTCACTCGGGGTCGCCCTTGTTGTTCTCCAGGACATGAGCATCAAGTGATTTCTATCATGTTTGGGAGTCGCAATAAAAAAAAATGGATTTTTTTTTTTAAATAAAAAGTTGTCCTATTTTATCCCCAGTTCTTTAAAGGAATCAGGCATGCGCATACAAGAGAGCTGTACCTCCCTCACCACATGCCATAATCCAGAAACCTTTAGGCTGTTTGAGCTATTTGTCATCTCTGCTACTTTAGATACAGTCCTGCTCACTTGAGGGTGAAAAGCTAGCATCCCCTTGCCCACATGCTTCTTTGCTATCAGAAGGGAGGGTCTGAGGCTGTAAATCCCACGACAACTGCCCCAAAATACTTTCTCCAGGTAGAGTCCGGCAACATCTGGGAAGTCAATTTCCACCACTCAGATATGGAAAGAAATTTTGAATTGTCCCACAAAAGCCTCTTCTCTTATGTCCAGAAAATATTTTTTTTCTTTTTTAAAACGGGGTTTCAGACAATTCTGCCTTTTAGTTCATTTTTCCAGATTGTCTTCAGTCTCCTCAAAGCAATACTCAAGTTTTGTAGGCATGCAGCTGTCCCAACCCAAGGAAAGAATCTGAATAGGTAATTGGTCCCATAAACAGCAACTGTGTTTTTCTAACTCAGCCAGGGTCAATCTGATGCTTACAGGTTATGTTGAGCTACATACCCCTTATTCTAGGAGCTGTATTGTTCAGCTACTTCGGCCACGTGTGGTATAGCATAGGATAGTAGTCTTTCAGAGTAATGAATTCTATGCATTGTGCAAAATCCCATTTGGGGGAGAATCTGCATTTTGCATTGTTTTAAAAAGATTCACTCCCAGACAGGTGTTGCCAATAAAACCCACCACCACTGTGACCAACAGACAAACATTTTTAGCATTTTAGAGAGGAAGAAGAAGTCTTTGCATAAAAGCAGACTTCACTTACCATAGAAGTACTCACCTATGAAGGCACGTGTAATTTTCACCATAATTCTTTTCCCAACTGTGCCATTCATTTTCCCCCTTAGAACCGAGTACCATTCCCAAACAGAAAACTTTGAAGTACATCTCTCATCCCTGTTCAATGATCCTGAAGATCAAGACTAATGAGGGTTGTAGCTGAAGAGGTCAATTGCAGGGAGAGTTACCTGCTAATCTACATGACAAAAGGACTGCAGTATCCTCCAAGATGTACCAATGTTGTTTTTATTATTGTTGACAGCAGATAAAATACAGGCCCTTAACAGGGATGGGCCACCAGCTAAGGCTGAGTGACAAATAAAGAAGCAGAAAATTAAGGTGAGGCTCCTGTCCAGTTTGCCAGGATCCAGGAGGCAATTACTTTTGGCATTTATTTTTCCCAGGTTGCTACTTCCAGCTTCATTTTTTCTTGCCAAAGCGCTGTGGGGTAGCCAAACTCAGAAACTGAGGGGCCAGAGAATCCCAAGCCCGTGGTTTGATCCGGCCAGCGCTTCTCAAACTGCTGGTCCTGGCTTCACGGCCGAACCTATAAAAAGGATCAGAAGCAGAGAGCAACACAGAGAATGCAGTGCCTGAAGGGTCAAACTGAGCCCTCTTGGTGGAAATCAGAGTAATATTCCCTCTGATACATCATTCTGTCTCCAGCAGTAGCTGGTCAAATGACTCCAGAAAGCTCAGAAGCAAAGAATTAAGGGTATCACTTGCCTCCAGGGACTTGACTCTGAAGTGAATTAGTTTGCGGTTCAGGAAGTAATTAGTTCTTTTTAAAGGACAGAAAGGTGAAAAGATGAAAGCCATCCCTTGTTGGAGGCACATGTGAATGGGAATGCCAACAAATGGATCATTTATTCATTCAGTTCTGAGTGCGCTTCATAGTCAGTACTGCTTTGTATTGGACAGGCAGCATTCATTTGCATCAGTAAGGCAGGAGTTGTATGTACGGTAGCATAGAACTACCGTATGAGAGAAGCATAAAGAATTCTGTTCTGATTTCCCCATGTTTTTCCCTGCACAGCCTGGAGGAAGAATGAACCAAAATTCAGTTTCATTTTGCCCAATTTCTGACTTGCTATTAGTTTCAAACCAGGATGTAACATAAACACTATTCAATTGCTGAATAAACGCAACGGAAAGTCAATCAGCGGTGTATTTCAAACACAATTCCTGGTTTGTGCAGAGGTGTAAGCCAGGAATTCAGTAAAGTAAAACAATCCTGGTTAATTTTTCTCCTACAGCTGGGACTAGTACTTGACCTTAGTTCATCTGTCACACGCAAGGACATAAAAAAGAATAAAAACAGCAAAAAAACCAACAACACAGTTTGGAAAGCTCTATTTGGATAGCAATTACACATTATCTCTTGTTCTTCCTTAATCATCTCTAAACTATGAAGCTGTTGCCTCATATTTACACTATATGATGCCATGAGAGGTTAGTGAAATCTATGCGAATAGTGCACCATTTGGATGAAAAGTAGCTGGATTTTCTAACACAACCACTGAAAAAATGCTTTTCAAGTTAAATCCAGAAAACTGACCAAAATGAAACTTTGAAATTGCATTAGAAACATGAAGTCAACATATTTGCTCCTATTTCACCTGAATATATGCGGTAGTTCTGCTTAATAAACTTGTAATCAGTCATACCTCTGTGGCTGGAAGAGGAAGGAAGGGCTGCGGCCGGGTCTCTGCACAGCATGAAACAATGTACGGAGAAGGACGCCCAGCAGATGGTCGTCAGGTAAGGTCTGTCCAGTGTGCTCTTCACCCTCTTGTGGCTGTGGGGAGAAAGCCTGGAGCTCATCAAAGCATGCAATTGGACAGGAGGAGAGTTTGCCCTAAGGTTAAGAGGTACAATGGGTCAGATGAAGACCCAATACAACCACAGCTCACCCTTATTATGCAGGAACAGTATGTAGATGTTGCATTGTCTGTAGCTTCAACGTGAAGGCCTAAGTATGAGAGAAGATCTGTCCTGCACCATAACAAAATAAAGGCAGCTGCTTCCCGTTGCTTTTACTCTAATGCAGGGGTCCCCAACCCCTGGTCCGTGGACCAGTACCGGGCCGCAGCATGCCAGCAACCGGTCTGCACAAACAAGCAAAGCCCCATCTGCGAGATGCAGGCAGCACACAAAACTACACCCCTTCCGGTCCGCGGAAAAACCTCTCTCCACGGAACCGGTCCCTGGTGCCCAAAAGGTTGGGGACTTCTGCTCTAGTGGCTGGATTCACACAATATGCCTAGCCAGGTTAAAGATCAAACAGTTGCATTCACGTAACATGCTAAGCTTGGTTAGTTTTACTCCTAATTAGATTGTTTTAAGATGGGAAGTTTAGTGTGTTGGGTAAACCTAGATAATGTTGTTAGTGTATTATTCAATGTACTGTGCAAAACCCCAACATGCATTAAGTATGTTAAGCAAACCCAGCCAATATATCTTGCCTTCAGATTTTGATCAGCCTTCCACAACCTGACATCTTCCAGCTGTATATGTTTACAACTCCCATCCTCCCCAGCCAGGTTAGCAATGATAGGTTTTGAACCGGAGGGCAATCAGGCTGCTTCAGATGTAAATCTTAAAGTACATTCTAGTTTAATTTTTTTGTCCAATACCTATAACAAGAGAAAGATTACTCTAAGTTGGATCCTGGCTATATTGTCTTTTTATTGCTCAGTTTGCATGTTTCTTAAAATGCACAGTGAATCTGTAGCTCTTCTTATTTCAGCCCCCAATATGCTATGAGCCTTTATAAGACTGCCTATTAATCCTGAGTTTGCAAGGACACATTTTGGGTAAACTGATGTTTCCATATCAGAATATGACAGGCTATGTCAATCTGGAAATTCTCTTGCTGCAAATGTGCCCTTAGATAAAAACACCAGGAAGCAAAGAAGCCTTTTCATTCTAGTCAGCTGAAGGCACCCATGGATCAGCAAGACAGTTTTAAGATCCCATAAAGGGAACTTTTTCCCCATGTTTCTTTCCAACAGCAGTCATATAACAAAAAGAACAGAATTCTTCTAAAAAGACATCCTGAAGATCATATTTATCAACTACATATCTTGTGGAAAAAAAGCTATTTCCACAAATAGTATGGTACACCGGAAACAAGATACCTGTGTATGTGTGTGTGTGCGCGCACACCCACACACACACCATATATTATCGAGTGGTCACTCATTAGAACACATGTCCACAATACATAGGGAAACATGGATGCTTGTCACTAACATGAGGACGAACAGCAACATACAGGTTCTCCAGCTTGAATCTCCCTACGCTTTTTGTTGCTGGAATCATGCTTAGAAAAAACCCGAAAGTTACAGCAAACAAGGTAAACAGTCACAAAATAAAAGTGTCCTAATACACAAATAATTCCACGCATTTTGCAGACATTTACTATACTCCTTTGACAGAGCCCTATAGAATTATCCCAGATCTTTATTAGCGCTAAAATTAATTACTACTTTCTTAAGACCACCTACGGAGTCCGTGCCTGATAGCAGGCAAGAGGAAGAATATAGAAGAAACTAGAAGAAGAAATGCATACTTTGTCCTTCTTGGGGAGTTCCCAAAATATCAGAAAAATGGTTGGGACTGGGAAATAGAAAGGAGCAAAGGCCATTAGCTATAGCCCTGTCGCAGTTAGGCTTGTTTTTTCTATTCTGGTTGAGCTTTAGCTAACCTTCTCACCTCCAAACTGGCTAGCTGATGCCAGGATCCCCAGCCTTGGCTCTGTTGGTAGGAAAGATGCAAGCAATTGTCCCATTCGAATGGATGTACAGTTGGGGCAGACTGGCTATAGTTAGGGTTGCCAGGTCTGCTTCCAAAAAATAGCGGACAAGCGGGGGGGGGGGGTTAAGTAGTAAAAAAAGTAGACTGTACAGCTTTAGATTACGTACCATTTCATCATAAAGCTTTTGAATAAAAAAAANGGAGGCAAAAACCAAACGGCAGGCCGAAATAGTCCCGCGTTCCCCTCGGGGCCACTTACCATCCAGTCTAAAAACCTCTCCGGGTAGGCGTTGGGTTCTTCGGCCAAGAGCTCCCGGGAGCCCAGCGCCTCCTCGAGACTCCGGCCCGGCCTCAGGCTGCCCGAGAGCAAGGCCAGCGCTAGCAAAAGGCGGGAAGCGTCCATGGTGGAGGCCCGCTCCTCTCCTCTCTGCTCCCCACCCCGTCCTGCTTCCCTTCTCCTGGCAGTGCCTTTATATCTCCAGCCATCCCAGAGCCGGGGGACGCGGGGCGGGATTGATGGCAGGGGTGGCAACCATTGGTGAGGCAGCCCAGGCGGCGCGGGCCCTGCGGCAGCTCCCCGTGACGAGCGGAGAGGGACCGCGACGGTCCCTGACAAGAGGTAGCGCCGCTGCCGTCTGGGGCCGCTTGCGCGTTATTGCGAGGATAAATCCCGCCGAAATGGCTCTTTCGGCCCTGTTGGGACGCGTCGGCTAATTGCTTGTTTACCATGGTTTGTGGGGGGCGCCGGGGAACTCGAGGCCGGCGCTGGGGACGCTGACCCCCATCGTCTCCTGCAGCCGGCTTAACAGGCGGCTTGGATTGATGGGTCTGGAGCCCCAGATGCTGCATTCGTCAAGCCGCTTTAACAAGCCCCGCTTCCCTGCGGGCATTCACGTCGGCAAAGCGCGAGCTCTTGCCGCGTGTAATGAAACCCATTTACAACACGCGGCCCGGGGAAGGGCGGGAGGTGCGGGGACTTTGCCGGGCTGAAAGAAGAAAAGCCCAGCCACCCCAGGTGGGGTATGGAAGCGTTCCCGCCCAACGGGGAGGAAAACCTCGGGCATTTATTCTCCCCCGGTGCAGTATAAAGGCCTAATACTTTTTATTTATTTTTTTAAACTTCCTTATTTTTTACAAAAGCTAGTTGCCGTAGTTCATTAGTAGGGCTAAAGCAGAAATCAAGTCAGGGGACCATGGGAATAACTTCATCGGATGGGTTTCTTCCCACCATATAGCTGTTAGAGTACAGGGAGTCCTGGACTTGCGATGGTCCATTTAGTGACCGTTCAAAGTTACAACGGCAATGAAAACAAAAAATGACAAGGCCATTTTTCACTCAACCCTTGACAGCATTCCCATGGTCATGTGATTAAACATTCAGATGCTTGTCAAGGGACTCATAATAATAATAATAATAATAATAATAATAATAATAATAATAATAATAATAAAGTTGAAAGGGACCTTGGAGGTCATCGAGTCCAACCCCCTGCTCAGGCAGGAACCCTACACCATTTCAGACAAATGGCTGTCCAGTCTCTTCTTAAAAACTTCCAGTGTTGGAGCATTCTGGAGGCAGGTTGTTCCACTGGTTAATTGTTCTAACTGTCAGGAAGTTTCTCCTAAGTTCTAAGTTGCTTTTGGGGAGAATAGGAGGAGGAAGATACCCTGGATATGTTTGCCACCTTGAGGTATTTGTGAAAATAATAAAGGTGGAATATAAATAAAAAATAAGGGAATATAAAGGTGGAATATAAATAAAGGTGGAATATAAATATAAATATAAAGGTGGAATATAAATAAAAAGGTGGAATATAAATAAAAAAGGTGGAATATAAATAAAAAATAAGGGAATATAAAGGTGAAATATAAATAAAGGTGGAATATAAATATAAATATAAAGGTGGAATATAAATAAAAAGGTGGAATATAAATAAAAAAGGTGGAATATAAATAAAAAATAAGTTTGCTGGTGTGACGGAGGTACCAAGCTAGAAATCTGGAGATTGTGACTTCTACTACTGCATAGGCATAAAGCCAGCTGGGTGTCTTTGGGCCCGTCAGTCTCTCTCAGCCCCAAGAAGGAGGCAAGGACAAACCTCTTCCAAGACCTTGCCAAGAAAACTGCACGACTAACATAGGCAGTTGCCAGTGGTCAACACTGACTCAAAGACATATACATACAAGCTAATAGGAGGCGAGTGCAAAATATGATCATGGGACCAATTTGTTGTGTTCCAAGATGTGACATCTATAATTATATCCTTAAACTAGTTTTGCCTTAAACTAGAATTTAGAAACCGGATAGCCTCACTTGACTAGTGGATTCAGTCTGAAGAAGAGAACAAGAGCACAACACTTAAGAGGAGAAGAACCCATGTTTATTGCAAACACCATATTGGCTGCCTGCTTTAGAAGAAAGAGGGAGCCTGAACAATGGATAAGCCAAGATTGTTATAGAAATTGAGGGCTACAAGTTGGCAAAATACTGGGGATCTGATTGGCTGCTTTGTTTGGGAAAACGAATCAAGTCCTTGTCTGTATACCTGGGGTGACTTCTACTTTTAGACAAAATAGGCCTTTCAGGAGAGCAGTCCCTTGTTAAGGCCATGAAATGTTGAGGCTGTCAGCTGGTCAGGAGTTAGAAGGCTCGGTTTCTCTAGGTTAGGGGTCCCCAACCCCCATCCATGGTCTGGCACCGGGCCGCAGCATGCTAGAAACCAGTCTGCGCAAACAAGTGAAGCCCCATCCGTGGGATGCAAGAAACCACGCCCCCTTGGTCCACAGAAAAACCTCTCTCCATGGAACCAGTCCCTGGTTCTCAAAAGGTTGGAGACCTCTGCTCTAGTTGCAAATCCCTTGATGTTGTGCTATGAGCTGGTGAGGAGCCTCTACTCTTTTGTTTAGAAGTGGTTGCGGGCTCTTTGTCTGGGGCATGGAAAGTCAACTCGGATTTGATGGGGTCAGTCAAAGAGGTGAACTGAATTTGACCCTGATATCCAAAGGTCAGGGAGCAAAAGGGTAGAGCATCCATTTTGTTTATTTTATCTACGATACCCTATCTAAGCATTTTGTGGTGCAGGGAACAGTGCAGTCAAGGTTGGACAAAGCCAAAGAGCCCCAGTAGCTTGATTTTGGGAAGGAGGGGGAGAGATCCTGGAGAGAGAAGGCAAGATTTCTCCTCAGGAGGAAATTGTCTGGCAGCTCCAGAAAATTCAAGCCACGCAAAAGTGCACCATTTCCTTGGAAGCAGGAGCTGAGCCGATTCTCTTGCAGAATTCATTGCCTAGGCTTCCCCCACAGGTGACAGAAATCCCTGAGCCTCCGAAGGACATTTGGACAGGGTGCAGTTTCTGACCAGCTGCGTTTTTTTTGTATGTGAAATAAGCTACAGATAGTCCTCCTAACCAAGAGATTGTGCACATATGTCTGTTTGGATTCTCATATTTTACTAAAACACAGTTTGCTTTAAGCACAGTTTTTCAGTAAGCTACAAATTCCTTGAGTCAGGCAATATGCTCTGCGATAAACTATGATTTACGAATGATTAGATCAAAGTTTCGTTACTCAGACACTTGACATTTAGTGCAAGCCAGAACAAAACCAATCTGACTATGGTATAGTGTAATGTGAATTCAAAGTGTCTCTTTGAATCGCATGCTGGACGGCAAATAAAATAGATTAGATAGATAGATAGATAGATAGATAGATAGATAGATAGATAGATAGATAGATAGATAGATAGATAGATAGATAGATAGATAGATAGATAGATAGATATGGATGGATGGATGGATGGACGGACATGATAAATAGATAAATAGAGATAGATTAAAAACTCTGAAGGCATTAAAAACAATCATTTCTTGGATCTGAATATGAGAAGCATTTTGGCTGAACTAGATTTGTTCCTGGTTCCCTAGAATTTTTACCTGAAAGGGAAGAAATTCCATTGGCAATATATGACTTTCATTCATTCCAAAGCACTTCAAAAAGCCACTTTCTTCCTGCCAAGCTTTTGCATTTAAGAAAAGTATGCTTCTGGTGCAAAAGTATTTATGTGTGTTTGTGTGAGATTTTTCTGTGTAGCCCTTAGGCAACAGGAGAAAGCAATGGATCCATCTGACTACATATTAATTCCTGGGCTGTGTTTCCTGCAGGCTTGATAGGCAGCTGATTAATACTTCCAATAACAGTCAAGTCTTCTCCTGCATTGGCACCATGGACAGATTGGTATTCATCAGTGCAAGGAATAAGCTGCACAAGGTACAGCTTTTTGTTTATCAGCGATACATCTCTGGGTAGAGAAGAAGACAACTTACATTGTAGTGAAAATGGCCTCCACGCATATCATATCCTGCTTATGGTATAAAATGAACAAACTGAAGCAGGTAAAAAGCAGCAGTGGTCAACTTGGCTGCATTTCAGAGGCCTTCTGCAAGCAATCAGTTTGAGCCTCTACCAGAATTTTTTTTTTTGCATTCCCCTGAAATTGCTGGGTAGAAGGAACTACTCTTTGTTGGGATGCAGATCCTAGCAGATGGTTCTCCGTTGACAGAATGGAGAGGGGAAAAGAATTCCACCTGTTTCATGGGTTTGTTTGTTTATTTATATCAAACTTCTTATCCACCCATCTCCTTCGTAGAGCGGCTCTTGGGCGGTGTACAATTTAACCAACATAATAAAACATTAAAACACCAAATAATTTAAGAATTATAAAAAATATAAAACAACCTTATAAAATTACAAAAGATGGAAAGTTCCACGACGGGGAGACTAGGAGTTGTGGGGACAGGTGGGGGAGGGGGTTCATGGGGCTGCTATAACAACATTGGGTTGAGGATTTGGGACCTACCTGGTTTCGATGAGCTACAACCCCCAGTATCCCCAGTCAGTATGGCCAATAATAATCATTTAGATGTTGCTCAACAGTGAGAAACTGGCGAAGTGGGCACAGCAGCGCCTGCATTTTCTGCATCGCATGAGGAAAGCACATCTTCCTTCCCCTGTCCTGACCACCTTCTACAAGGGGACGATTGAGAGCATCCTGTCATACAGCATCACAGTCTGGTTTGGAAGCATCACTGCTTCAGACAGGAAGGCGGTGCAGAGAGTGGTCAGGATCACTGGCAGCTCCCTCCCTCCCATCCAGGACATAGCACAGAAGCGTTGCTTGAGCAGGGTCCATAAGATTTTCTGGGACACTACACATCCTCTTCACGACCTGTTTTCCTTGTTACCTTCTGGGAGGAGGCTTCGTGGTATCTGAAGCAGAACATCCAGATTCAGCCATAGTTTCATTCCATACAGCATTAACCTTGTGAACTCTCAAGCTTCCTCCTTCTGTTATATATTCAAGATGGGCAGTATTTAATATTTATTTGCTACATATATGTAGGGGGGTGGG